TTACCTCCATCTAATTTTCTGGCAGAGCAAATGTCTCAGGAGTGTGACTCATAGACAAGATGAAGTGAGAAGAGTTACGAGTGCCGGAATTCAAATGCCATATTCAAAGCAAAAATTTCATTTTCGAGAGGCGCAGAATTGATTTCAGATGGCACTCGGTCTGACCTCAGCTGAAAGCAAAGGACTGCAGCGAATGTGTCATCTTAACGTGGCACTCTGCATCTGGTGTTTGCAGCTGCAGCCGCTGGTTCCTGAGAGCTCTCTGAGCTACAGCCATCTCAGCCACAGTGTCAGCAGCCACCTGGACTCATCACCGGAGAGCAGCGAGGCTGGGGCTGATATCCCCCTTTCACGGAGTGGTAAGATGTTCAAACAAGTACACATGCAGTACGAGTTCAAGGAGGGGGTTTAAGAGAGGCTGGACTGGTGTGAGAGCATTCAACTTAAAGGTCCAGTGTGTAGGATTTAGGGGATATATTGGCAGACATGGAATATAATACAGTAAGTATGTTTTCTTTGGTATATAATCACCTGAAAGTAAGAATTGTGTTTTCATTACCTTAGAATGAGCTGTTTATAGCTACATAGGGAGCAGGACCTCGTTTATGGAGATCACCATGTTTCTACGGTAACCCAGAACAGACAAACTAAACACTGGCCCTAGATTGGGTCATTTGTGTTTTCACGCCAGCCACCATAGTTAGATGATCATCTGTGACGACAGCCCAACCTAACCTTAACAATGAACAATGAACACTGAAGGAATTCTAACCGGGAGAAGTTTAAGCTGGATGCAGTGTGCAGTCCTCACCACTAGATGCCACTAAATCCCCCTAAATCATACACACTGAAATATTAAACAGTTGATTAGGAAAACTGGTGTTGATTTTTTTAGCTGTGCCCATAAAAGCATTCCGAGTCATTCTCTGTCTTTAGTAGTGTTTTAATGGTAAAGTGGGTAAAGAAAGTGAAGTAAAGTAACAACCATGTCCCCGTGTGTCCTCAGAGCGGCAGCAGATCCTTAAAGGCGTCCAGAACATTGTAGTAAAAGCAGCCCGTCGGCGCTCCAAAGCCCTGGAGGTGGACGCCCTGCGGTTACACCCTCCCCCGTCTCCCCTGGACCCCAAGAAGCAGAAGAGCAGCCTCTCTCTGAGCGAGGCCCCTCCTACAGGTTTGCCAATGCGGCGCGGCAGACAGCCCAGCCCCGAGCTCAGACACGCCACCTCAGACGATAACCTGTCAAGCAGCACGGGCGAGGGGCCCGGCCTGCAGGTGACCTGGACACGCCCACGGAACCGGCAGGTCGCCACCAAGAACCAAACGCCCCGGGAGATGGACTTTGAGGCTCGCCGAAAGAAGAGGCGCTCACGCTCTTTCGAGGTCACTGGTCAAGCAGTGAGTATTTTCTGAATTCATTATGCACAGTATTATTATAGTAACATTTCTGAGTACGCCTTCAGGACACACTGGTGTATTTATATGAAATATTAATGCAGCTCACATGAAGCAGCAAATTGTTTTTGGCCAGTAAGGGGAAAAAGTCTCCAAAGCAGATGGTACGCAGCCTTAATTTACCCCATCAGTGCATCACAGTCCTCTTTCAGTCTATTTTTAGTATTATTATGGACAAACAACATACAAATAGAGAAGCCAATCACACATCACTACACTGTACAGTCTGATGTCAGAGTCCACTGATACACACTAACTACTGAAATCATTTTTGTTTCTTTTGTTTCATGTGAGCTGTACATGACTGAGCGGCACCATGTTAGACTCAGAGTCAGTTTAAGAAAACTGTGATATAATTTCTTCCTCCTCTCGCTCACAGCTGCCTCAAACCAAGACAGCCACAGCCCAGAGGTTCCGTCCTCTCGACAGCACATCAGACCCTCATCTCCACAACAACAGTCAGCCCCAGGCTCCCACGCTCCGCCCCCAGTACAGAGGGGTCCCTCCTCTCGCCAAAATCAGGGCGCCCCACAGCATCCAGCAAATAGAGTCCTCCACACCCCACATGAATAACCTGAAGCGAGGGCCTCAGCTGCGGCAGCCGCAGCCACTCCTCTACATCACCACCACGGGCACCGGGGGCCAGCGCACACGCAGACACTGAGCCACAGCCCGGATTTATCCTCAACACCAGCACTAACACCCAAACCAGCCTGTTCAAATGAACAGTTAACCCCTCAGTGACTGACGTCAGGCAAGACTGTGAGGCAGTTTGACGGAGACTCCACGCCTCCACACAGGTCTCCTCTATGCTTAGTTGTGGACACTGAGCGACGGTGCTGACAGGCTGCAGAAGATTGTTAGACGTACTGTTCTGTTCCGTCAAGTGTTTCCACTTTAGCTTGCTGTCGTGCTGAGTTGTGCGTTATCGTCACGTCAGGATGGTGTCAAGCTCACTATGAATGCAACACTGTACTTCTGTTCGTGCATTAAGAGTATAAACGGTCTGGTAACGTTCAGTTCTTGTTTTGAAGGCCAGAAACTGCAGCATTAAGATAACGGTGGGAGTGTACGCAGCTCACAGTGATGATGTAAATGAGAAATGAAGGAAACGACTGCTTTATTAGACACAGGATAAAACAGCTGAGAGGATGTTACACTAATGTGATGTAAACACTGTGTAACGAGAAATGGTCTTTCTTGTAGTGAGGTTGTTCAGACTTAATGACACACTAATATTTGAGTTAAAAAAAACATTCCTCATCTTGATTGTTGTGCACTTCTGGATTCAATGTCGTCCTCTCACGCGGCCCGGGTCTCTGCCTTCTCTCACCCACACCTGACTGTTGAACGTCATGTCTGTTTGTGTAGACGTGTAGAACCACAAGTTGCTTTTCCAGATTAGTCGGCTGTATTTTTAATTCATTATTTAACTGTTGCCTTTTTTCTTTTATGTTGTCGTCGACATTGTTTTCATAATTACTACTTTCTATGCTTTATTTTGTACATTTTTTTTATTTGTACCCAAATAAATGCAAATGAGAAACATGAAAAGTTTTTTTTTTTCTGGTGCAACAGACGAGAGAAAAGGCAGGTGATGAATTGTGTGTTTGCAGGAGTGAAAGAAGAAGAGTGTCAGTTCCAGTGATCACTTTTGTCATAAAACTGCCTCGCATCTGCAACCGTGACATTTCTGAAGACATTTCTGCAGCAGAAATTGTTGATTAGGATAAAATGAGAGAAACAAACAACTGGATCAAGATTCAAATCAACACATAAATGAGGGAAATTGTTTGTAGAAGAGTTGAATTCACGCTAAAGACTGAAATATTCTTTAATGTCATGGGAATTAAATTTCAGCACGAGACTAACAGGATGTTTCCTACTGGCTGGATGTGTAGTATTCTTAAATGTCCACTAGATGGTGCACATTGGCCACCTTTAGGCAGAAGATAATCAATGTGGATCAAGGAACCAGGCAACAGCACACCATCTCATGAACCATCTCCCTGAAGAAGTTAGAAGAAGAAGATATACTTTAGAAAGGCGCTATGCAAGTGCAGTCCATTTACCGTCTACACCAGAGTGGGAGAAATTGAATTTCCCCTCAGGCATTAATAATCTTCTGACAACTCAAAGCGCTTTTTCACTACGAGTCACGAGCTGTGTCTCAGTTCAGGGGCTGCACCCTTCAAAGGCTGCATCTGAAGACCGATTGCATCACATGGGTGCGACCAAGGCCATCCCATTTTGAAGGCTTTTTCAAATGCAGCCTTCTTTCCCAGAATGTGGAGGATGCAACGGATGAATCCTTCATTTCGACCAATGAAAACTAAATTGCTACTTGTCAGCCTTACTTTTAAATGTTAAAAGGGCTTGACATACAACTCCTGCCAAAATAACAATAGTAGCAAATATATATTTGATGAATAAAAGATATGAGGAGGTTAGCAATCATCCAGATGACCCACTATAACTGACTTCTTTTGGCAGACTCTTGACACACCAAAGGGCCTCTATAACATGTGTTATCACTCTTATCACGACATAAATGTTTGTGTTTATTTCCTAATATTAAATAACATTTGACAACCAACCAAATATTTACTAACAAAATGATTCAAGAATTCCTTTTACACTTTTTAAAGTTACAACGCACCAATAACACATCCATTTAAACAGGAAATAATGTAAGATAACGTGAAATAATGTGATGTGTTACACACTTATAGTTCCCTCACATGAATGACGACAAATAGGGTCCCCATGAAGGCTTTTTAAATTAAATTAAATCACGTTTTAAGGTAGAGTGTGCCTCTTTATGAGGAAATGGGTGCACACAACATGCAGATTAAAAATCAAAATAATATTAAAAAAGCATTCATGACTTATTGTGTAGGCCTAGTTGAATATTGCAACCATAATCCTCCGGCACACCATTTGAGAACAACTGCTTTTAAGGAACAGCATTCCTCTCTTAATCAAATACTCCGCCTCTATTTAAACTTTTAAGAAAAATCTTAAGACGTCCATGTTTTCAATGGCCTTTGGTTGCTTTTAGTGGTTTTAATACTCTAGTATTTTATAATACTTCTAAATATGTAATTATTTTCACCGGTGTTATTCTGTTTTATATTTTTGTACATGTTATATTGCTATATTTGTGTGTCATTCTTCTTATTTGTACAGAACTTTAGTCAACTGTGGTGGTTTTAAATGTGCTGTATGAATAAAATTAATTTATTTAAAGACGTTCCGTTTCTTGCACTTATAAACTGCGATTTTTAACAAGTTTCTGGCGAGCAACAGTTATGAAAATTAAATAAAAATACAAGTAAGCAAATGAATAAGAACAAGATTTATCAGCCAATGTATGTGGATGAGGCTGAATCGGAAGTACCGCCTCTTCTAAGCCACTGACAGCGTTCTCAACCAATGACGACTCGGCGGATGCGTGATTGACACGCCCGTCGACCAATCAGCGGCGGGATTACGGCTCTCGAGCGGTAGTGCACGTACGGCTGATTTGCAACCCGCCGAAGCAGCAGCGGAGAAGGAGGAAAAATGTCGCTGCCGTCGACGCGGACCGTTCTAGGATCAGTGTCCTTTTAGGAAACTACAGACGGCAATTCGGTGAGTGGGACAGCCGTCACTAGTTGCATCCAAGGTTAGCGGTTAAATTCGGTCTGTCCCGTCCAGAACCGCGACCGTTTCTCACAATTTAACCCGGTTTGTTGAACGTTTCAGGCCTGCTGTTCATGGAAAACTAGCAACGGCCGCGCCTGGCAGCCATGATGGATGTTAGTGACGAAAAATGGAGCGTTGTTGATATAATTCGCGTCGTTATTTGCTAGCTTTAAAGTCAGCGTTTCCTCTCATATAACGTTAGCGACGAGTCAAAATGTGACAGCGTGTTAATTAAATGTTTCTAAAATGGCAGTTGGAGACTGAAAATATTGTTTTGGTGTCATTATTTAAAAGTTATTAATTTGGATATCAGAGCTGGTATTCTGAGCGCGTTTATCACAAGCACGTCACGCGCATCCTTACAGCATTTAAAAGTTAATAGGAGTTTAGTTATTGTGGACACTTACACAAACACTGTGCAGTTAACGTTATATGAGCTGAAACATAAAGATAACCTCCTGCTCCGTCTCAGCCAATCACAGGCGCGTCTTCTCACAGCAGCAGCTGAGCTGAAGTGTCCAGCAGACACACAACAGTGCTGATTATTGACATTAAACTGTCCTGGCCTTCTAACATAACTTATTTTAATAAGAAATACCGTTAACACATGCTAATATTCATGCTCTCCTTCTGTGCTTTGTTATGTGGCTGTGCGTAATGCGCCTGGATGAGTGTTGCGCTTTTACGCACCAGGCGCACCACACTCCTGCTCTCTTTTTCCTTCTTTTAAAAACTATAAATCAAAGTATAACTATAAGACAAAGCTGAGCAAGTTAATGCTGAGATTTTGGACTTAGAACAGCATTTGACTGCTACACAGGGACAGCACCTGGGCTATTTGGTGTTCTCTAGTCTTCTTGTGCCCCTGCAGCTCTACACAGAAACCACTTGACTCAGTGTTTTTGACAGGATCTTTTTTGTCTTCATGTTTAACTAAATCTCCTACTTCATGCACATCAGTTCAGGACCTATATGCATTTTAATCTTCCCATTATAAGTGCTTTATTCAAAACCAGGAGTGAAGTAAAAGATGATAAGAAAGTGAAAGTCAATACTTTGGAAAACTCATATTAGAGTACACTGAACTCAAAATGTAGTGTGGCCACACAGTGGTGCAGTGGTTAGCATTGTCGCCTCAGTTCCTGGTTTGAACCCAGGGTAGGGGAGCCCTTCTGTGTGGAGTTTGCATGTTCCCCCCATGTCAGCGTGGGTTTTCTCCGGGTACTCCAGCTTCCTCCCACAGTCCAAAGACATGCAGGTTAATTGGTGACTCTAAATTGTCCGTAGGTGTGAATGTGAGTGTGAATGGTTGTCTGTCTCTATGTGTCAGCCCTGTGATAGTCTGGTGACCTGTCCAGGGTGTACCCTGCCTCTCGCCCAGTGTCAGCTGGGATAGGCTCCAGCGCCCCCCAGTTACAGAAAATTAATGAATGAACTCAAAATGTATGAAGGTCACTGTGTTGGTGCTGGGTTTTTTTTTCGCTCTCTCTCTTATTTGTTGTAAATGTAGTGTTTTTCTCAATTAGTATGATGTTAATTGACAAGATGACACTGGATACCATTTTGTTCCTGCTCCTGACGATTAAAGTATATGTTAACTTTTATTTTTTTTTTGCCCACTTATTTCCTTTAATTACAAACTGTACTAATCCAAAAAGAAACATACACAAAACACTGGTAATATTTTTGATTAAAATACACTCAGTATAAGTACACTTAAATGCTTGTTCCATGATTTTATTATCAAACTCTTTGGTAGTTAAACTGAAACACCATCACCATGTCGCTTGTTTTTAACTGTATGAAATTATTAAATAGCGATGTCTTTGGACTGTGGGAGGAAGCTGGAGTACCCAGAGAAAACCCACACTGACATGGGGAGAACATGCAAACTCCAAACAGAGGGGCTCCCCCACCCTGGGTTCGAACCAGGAACCCTATTGCTGTGAGGCGTCAATGCTAACCACTGCACCACGTACCACCTGCACTGTTACTCATCCCTGGTCAAATTACTTTAAATGTGAGGAAGCTCAATTACAAAGTTAAAAAATGACTTAACCTTTGTCACTGACTATTATCTTTCTTATTTTTTCTTTCAGGGTGAAACTTCTGCTGTGGTGTTTCTATGATAGATTATAAGCTTCATGAAACTGTACAAAGAAGGTGAAACAGTTTCAATGTTGGAGGTTTTAGTTGGACTACAGAGAGTCACCTTACATTCTCCTTTAGCCAGCGCAGCTTCAACCCTGAACACCTAAGAACACAGGAGGGTACTGTAACGCTACATGGGCCTGTAAGGTAACCAGATCTGATAATTAAAGCCTCTAGAGCCTAAAGGTAAAGTTTCAGTGACGACATGGACCCGTCTACTCGGGTGGTGGGTCTGGATGCCCAGGGGAACATGGTTTTCACTGTGGTCAAACCAGTGATGGGCATCTTCCAGGTGTCTTCGGAGCAAACAGGGAGTGTGGCACAAGGGGGCATGGGGCTGCAGGGTTTATCTGAAAACACATTAATCCTCCCTCAAACGCAAAACCAGGCTCCGCTAGACCAGAACCAGATGGATATGCACTCCATGCAGCCTCACATCCAGATGCCCCAGATGCAGGTTTCTGCCCTGGCCCAGAGTGAGGCTGTGCCCCAGATTCAGGACCCACAGCCGAACTCAAGCACAAACACAGAGTCTGGTACACACATGCCTTTTGCAGAGGTGTCGTCGCTCCTGGATCCCAACATGAAAGGATCGAAGGCTCGTAAGTGGCAGTCATTTAGTTCAACAGCACATATATAATCTGGATTTTTTTTTTTTTTTTTAAACTACTGTCACTTAAAATTGTTGAAAGTCAGACCATAATAAACATGCTAAGGGATTCAGATGTGAGAGGCAAATTTGATTTTCAGATTTAATAAAATGCTATTAAATCCCGACCCGGCTGTGCTGACTCATCTCCTCCCGTCTCCGTCTCTTATTTTAGGGAAATATCTCATCTCGTATGATGAAATCAAACGGCGCCTGCAGGCTCCGGAGAAGATGTCCCTGCGCTCCCTGGCAGCCTACACTCGGGTCAGCAGAGGCCCGGCCAGCAAGAAAACCCTTCTGGAGTCACTCAATGTCCTTGGCCTCACGCCAAGCACAACTACCTCTGTATCCTCCTCCTTCTCCAAACTCACTGAAGGTGACAGATTCAAGAAGTTTATTGTCATATGCGAGTTAGATTTTAAGAAACAGTAAGCAGAAACAAGATATGTTTAGGGTTGGGTTTCTAAATACAGATTACATGTCAATTTTGGTAATTAGTGAAATAATTGGATTCCCAAACAAAAGTAATCTACTGATCCTTTGGATTACTTATAAATTAAACACTGAAAATACTGCACCTTATACTATAAAATGGATACAGCCACAAAAATTGTAGCTCTGCAAATATTCTTTTATTTCTCTTTTAACATCTCAAAAAAACACCATAAAACTCTATTCAGAGCTGCGCCTTGTCAAAATAAATCAAAACCTATATGACTGGACCATGTGGGAAATTAAATTTGAAAGGAGTCAGGTTAATTTCCAGGGCTGGTACCTGTGGTTATTCCACAGGCTAGGTAATAACATGCACTTTGCAGGAAATCCAAAGTGTGGGATCATTTTGAGAAGGTGAAGGACGAACCCAAGGTGATATGTAAAATCATCTTCATTGGTCGACTACAAACATGACGTATCATCTGAAACATGGAAGTAGCTACATGCCCATTAGCCCACAGCGTCATTAACAGGCGGCTCGCTCAGTGTGTGACGTGCACTTGTAGATAAAATATAGGCCTATATTAATGAAGGTTCATTAGTACGGTTTTGTATTTCTCTGTAATGTAGCACAGTGTTAACAATGTTACTGATACTATTCTTTCTCACACCTTCAACTCAAACCTCCAAAATATATCATTTAATAATTAAATTAATATCGTAAACATGCGCTGCATCCATGTCCATGTATTTCACCTGTAGGTTTGATAACATGAAGAGTAGAGACTAAACTGTGTTTTATTGGGTGTGTGTGTGTGTGTGTGTGTGTGTGTGTGTTTAGGCGACACCAGAGCATTGTGTGACGATATGAAGGACTTCGCCCATGACTACATCGACTACAGCAACATGGCGAAACAGCTCATCCCTGAGACAAACACAGTTCAACACTGGTCCAAAATTATTGAAACCAAGTACGTACTCTATGACCTTGTTGTAACATGACCTTTAAAAACCTGTTGTTTTTTTTCCAAGGAGACTCGGATAAACAAAGTAATACATTGTTTTTCCTCTCTCAGGAACCACCTGGAGGATATGAGAAAATGTTTCAAGGACCCAGTGAACAGCGGAGCGTTTGACAATGTCACTCACGGTCTGGGTCTGGGAATGTTGGACGTGGCGCTGGACATGATTGTCATGGTAATTGAGCAGCAGATTCGTATCCTGTCTGGCGCAGCGGCATCAGACCCAGTTGACTCTGGTCCGCCTATGCGGCGCATCCGCAGACGCCACCGCAAAACCCACTCGACTGACGAGAGCCCCAACAAAGTGTCTGGAGGGATCAAAGATCAAGGGAAGGCCATTTCTAAAGGCAAGGGGCGAGGCCGAGCCAAGAAGAAGATAAGGCAGGAAGCTGGAGCTGCTGGTCCCGTGGAGACCCCAGCAGAGCAGTGCAAGTCGGACGATGTGGAGAGTAACGTCCTCACCCTGGTGTCGGTTGGATATGAGACTGTTTCCAGTGGTCTCAACGCAGCCGGAACTGTTTGACACATGGTCACATGACCGGTCCAAGAGCCAATCATGGTCCCTTTCATAGGGATACTCAGAGATGAGACACGAGCTCTGCACAAGTTGAGCTGGGCGGACAAAGCTGTGGTGAGCTCAGCATCAGCGTATAGTGTCACAGCTTCAGTCCAGCGTAAAGGAATAGTTTGACATTTTGGGAAACACATTTATTAGCTTTTTGATATGAGTTAGATGAGAAGATTGATAACACTCTCATATCTGTACGGTTAATATGTAGCTGGAGCCAGCAGGAGGTTAGCTGAGCATGAAGACCAGGCCTGTAACTATTATTTTCAGTATTTTCCTTTTTAAAGATTTTTTTTTTTTTTTTTTTTAACCACTTGTTTATAAAATGTCGGGCCAGGGTGACGTCTTCAAATGTTATTTTATCCAAAAAAATCCAGAGTTATTCAGTAAATTATCATGTATGACAAAAGTAATGCATCAAATTCTGACATCTAAGAAGCATCAGCCCAGCAAAATGTTTACCTCAGAAAATAACTGAAACAATTATTTGATTATCAGAATAGTTGCCATTTAATTTTCTGTTGATCGACAAACTGATCAACTGATCTTTGCAGCTGTAATAAAGACTGGACACGGGGAAACAGCCAGCCTGGCTCTGACCAACATTTACAGAATACACTCGCCAGCAACGTGAATGCTGAAAACTAAGCAAGCAGCAGGAATTGAGGCTCGCCACAATAATTACATTTGTCTTCGGCTGGGTGGCGTGTTCGTATGTTTCAGGCTGGAAAATAATTCTTTGTATCACAGGTCAACTGTTGACTGATTGGCTGCTGGTTTACTCTGATCACTATTCACTGCCAAAATTTAAACGGCTGCAGCTCTCTGAGCTCGTAGCGGCAGCTGCAACTTAACACAAACTTTCTTGACTGTTTAGTTTTTGCAAAAATTGAAGGATAGGAGGTGTTAATAAGAGGTTCAAAAGTTGGAGTAGGCAGATTTTGTTTCCGTTGGACAGAGGCAGGCGAGCGGTTTCCTCCCCTTTTCACTCTTTAGGCTGCATTCACAACAAATCAGGTGTTGCAGCAAAAACACCACTGCTCCCATATATTTGAATGTGGGTAATGCATTAAGGTTGCGGCAGTGGGGCCCCAGGGAATACCAACAAATAAATAAACGCAGCGGCATGTGACAACAAGTTGACACAGAATCAGCTTTTGGGGAAATGCAACTGGGCGTCATACTGCATACTACTACCCTCCTCCATTACGTCCTCGTTACGTCTATGATAGACGTAGGCGTTGGCATGGTAACGTTAGATACACGGAAGAGGAGAGCGAGTGTAACGTTACAACCAAGACAGTCAAACGCCGGAGTTTTAAAGCTCAACCGGAGTCAGTGATGACTGATGAGTTTTAGAATAAGGTTACAGTGCTAATGTTAGATAGTAGCATTAACGTTAGTAGTAAGTGGAAACGCACAAGGAAGATAACGTTAATGTTTCAGAGGCTACACTACAGTAGGCTAACACTAGCCATTAGCAACTGGATGCTGTGTTGTCATATAACGTTGTATGTTATATTAGAAGCAAACTAAACATAATGTTACCTACAGAATTTGGAAACTTTTCCGGGGTCAGTGATGACGGATGAGTTTTAGAATATAACGTAAATGCTAACGTTAGATAGTACTGGCAGCTTGTTTTGTTTTTTTAACTGTGTCTTGTAAGGTGTCCTTGAGTTCTTTGAAAGGCACCTATAACTAAAATGCATACATATTATTATTAACATATGTACTGTAGAGACATGAGAGTGCTATCGATCTTCTTCTCTAACTCTTGACAAGAAAGCTAATGAACACATTTCCCAAAATTCAGAGCTCTTCCTTCAAGTGAATCCTCTGTTTTCTAGTAGCAGGTTTTGTATGTGTGCAGTCTAACTGAGTCCATATAAATATATATATTATTTTTTTATGCTATGTTTTCAGTGAACAGACAAAAATCCCCACCGATGTATAAATGTAAACACGCTGAACACTGTTATGTAGAACAGATATATCAGAGGTCAGGATTATATTTTTTTGCTGGTGTTACAATGTCTCCTGTTTCCCTGTTGTATTTATTGGTTAGATTTCCATTAAACATCTGTCGTTCTGTACGAGACTGTTGGAAATATTTTGTTTTTACTGGAACCTGAAGAGTTGAGTCAAATATAAAGATTTACTTTTCGTAACTACTTTGATTCTGTTGTTGTCTTGGGATAGATGTCACAGACCGAGCAAGCAGAGTCTTCATCACTGCGGCTTCATGAATTTAATTTTGGAGTTTAAGTGACTCTAACATTGTAGCATTTGATATAAAACTCTGGAAAGAAGACAGGTAAGGATATTTAATTTCTAAAAATCCAGAAGTCAGAAGTAGATCATGTTTAACATGCACAGTGATGCAGATAGTGGCTGTAATTTGGTAGAAAGAAAATAGTTCCTACATGAAACTGCTCACAACAAAGTTTGTGGATTATCTTGAGTAAACAGGTCATGATTTCTAGAAAGAGACATTGATGTAGAGTTTTTCAAATGTATTTTTTTATTGCTTTGCACACCACAGGTCGAGTGCCATCTAGTTCTATTATTTTGGAGAGAAGGCAGACATCTCTACGGCCCATATCACCAACACTGGGCAACTCACATCAAAACAACCCAGACTGATAGATTGCACTACAGATAAGAGGGAAAGTATGTATTTATAATTTTGGGGTGAAATGTCCCTTTAAATTATATGAAGACATCACTGCGGCTAAACTCTGCCCCAAATTTTGCGCTCAAGCAGAAATGCTGTCTAATAATACACCTGTGCACACAAACAGATGCCAGGTGTCCACCTGTCTGTGTTGTTGTTTTGGCTTGGATTTACTAGAAGCCGAAAGGCATTGTGGGAGATTTTTAGGGTGGTGAGAACATGCTCAGCAGAGTCAGCCAAGTGCTAATACCTTAACTGCACCCGCACACACACACTCAGGGAGGGGGGGAGAGAGAACAGCTTTAGTGAGGATTTGCTCTGTATTACCCTAAGAGGGGACAGAGCCAGCTGGAGTACAGGGAAGACACACCAGACAGGCGTGCAGGGGAAAAAAAGACAGGTATTTTTTCTGCACAAAACAACAGTGAAAGATGGGAAGTGAGTGCAGCAGTGGGATTACAGTGAGAGGCAGCGTAGGTTGAAGCAGGTTTCCTCAAAACAACAGCTAATGACTCCACAGACTGGTGCTACAAGTGAGGAATCCAGCAAAAAGAGGACGACAGTGAAAATGTGAAGTTACTCTGCATGAAGATGTCAACCTGAGAAAGTTTGACCATCAGCTGTTGCAGGGAGCAGAATGGGGCACCCTAATGTGCCACTCGTGTACACTTACGCACGTTCCCACAGGGATAAACGCAGGTCCAGTCGACTGCAACCCTACACACCGAACGGTGAGTGGAACAGCCCCGTTAGTCAAGATTTAATGGTTAACAGTGGATGTGGGATCTGGATACTGGTGCTGACGTTAATGTGGTCGAGTACCTTTTATTTATCTAAAGAAGCTACACACTTTTGTTTCAGTAATGCTAATACTCAGTGTTGGGGAGGCTACTTTGAAAGCTAAACTTGGCAAGCTCCTGATTACCTCACACCGCAAGAAACAGCAACACAATAAGAGATATATTGTTAACTAAAGCTACTTAGAAAACATGGTTCAAAGTACTTTGTAGACAACGTACATCCATCCATCCATCCATCCATTTTCAACCACTTATCAAAAGCCGGGTCGTGGGGGCAGCAGGCCAAGCAAAGCACCCCAGACGCCCCTCTTCCCACCCTTTTCCAGCTCCTCCTGGGGGACCCCAAGGCGTTCCCAGGCCAGATGAGATACGTAATCCCTCCAGCGTGTTCTGGGTCTGCCCCAGATCAGATGCTTGATGCGAAGGAGCAGCAGCTCTACTCCTCACCCTATCTCTAAGGCTGAGCCCAGCCACCTCACGGAGGAAACTCATTTCCGCCGCTTGTATCCACGATCTCATTCTTTCGGTCACTACCCAGAGCTCATGACCATAGGTGAGGGTTGGGACGTAGATGGACCAGTAAATCAAAAGCCCCCTCTTCACAGCGCCTGCATCCCTGCAGAAGCCACACCAAAATTGCCAATCCATCTCACACTTCATTCTACTCTCATGAACAAGACCCCTAGACTCTTGAAGTCCTTCACATGGGGCAGTATGTCTCCCCCAACCCAGAGAGGGTAATCCACTATTTTCCAGCAGAGAACCATGGCCTCAGATTTGGAGGTGCTGACTCATCCTGACTGCTTCACACTCAGCTGCAAACCACCCCAGTACATGCTGGAGGTCACGGTGTGATGAAGCCAACAGAACCACATCATCTGCAAAAAGCAGAGATGCATATCTGAAGTCCCCAACTAGACCCGTTCCTCCCCCCGGCTGCACCTCAAGATCCTGTCCATGGATATCATGAATGAAATCAAAGACAGATGCGAAGTCATACGCTAGCAAAAAAAAAAGCCACTGCAAAGGTTTACTGCAAAAAATGCCCACTTGTTCACAGGTCATACAGAAACCAAAGAAATAAAATACCCCACTCATCATAAACCAATTATAAACTTGCCTTCAGAAACTAGAGTCCAGGTGAGGGTATGCAGCCTGTGGCCCTTTGCTGCATGTCATCCCCTCTCTCTCCCCCTTTCACACTTAACTGTCCTGTCCATTAAAGGGAAAAAATGCCCCAAAAAATATCTTTAAAAAAACAAACAGCAGTGTTTGAAATTTCAGAAGTTAACTACACATAAACTGTCTCGTAGTAGTTTTTGATGGGAGGACAAAGCTATTCATCCACACACATTTTCATAGCTCGTGCAGAGATTCAAACCTGTGATCTTTCTGTCATGAATTCTTATAAGACCATGCCAGTTTTATACTTTAAATGTTTCATATGGTACAACAATTAATAGGAAACACTGGCTGGCTTGAATGGTAGGAAAAGTATGATTATAAATCTTAAGCTATCAAGAATGCATTTGAAGATTTTCAGCCAAAAACTTAAAGTAAAATCTTTTTTACATGTATTTTTCCTACCATTCCAGTTAACTCTGTTTCCAGTTAGTGCAGACTCTTGAACTTGCTTGAGTTGTTTACTCCACTACAGTGAACATTAAGGTTGCATTGCCAATTTACATTACCACCACATGGCTGTAAGTATAAATGATTTGTAGTAAATGGGCTAAAACATGCAAAACTACTGATACAGTCCCCCCAGTATGACTTGTCTTCAGTTAATGGTCTTGTGTTTTCTGATGTAAGTGCTGGGAATACAGTGATTACTACGACTAATCACCATGTGTCACTGGTCTCTGTATAAATTAATTGAAGGACCACTTAAAATAATGGGGTTGTCAAGTGGAGGGTTTTATATTTGAACAGATCATCTGGGAAAATCTAACCAGCAAAGTGCCATTTACTGCTGAAGTGTCCTTGACCAAAGCACTTAATATAAAGCAGATCAGGTCATTGGTATGAATCTGTTGTGGACAGCAGTCCGTTACCTCCAGTCTGCTGCTGTTACTCAGCTTTATTAATGTTTTCATTCATTTCCACAAGCTGTATACGATACTCAGACAGATCTATGATTCAGTCTGAGCTGGGACTGTCTGCACACGGCTCTCAACATGGAGGTGGCTGAGCCGGCAACTAGCAGACAACAGTGCTAACAGCTAACGGTGGTATAGCATGGGGGGAACCGAAAAGTGGGCATTCTGCGACCATGGGTTGGGACAAGGCTATTAGCGCTAACTGCCATATGACCTCGCTGCAGAGAACTTGATGATACGTTGAAGGCGGGGCCTCGTTTATGCCTATGAAGGTTGTTCAGTGGCGCATGAAGCCGAAAACGTTCACCTGTGTATAAAATTACTTGGAGGATGGGTGTTGCTTCCACATCATTGAGCCCTTGGAGCCAAGCACTTGGCTAACTTAAATGGAAATAAAATAATCGCGCCACTCTTCTAGACTTTCCAAATCATATCAGACTGAATGGATCAAATCCTGATAGTGGAACGAGTCATTTCGCAGGAGTTGTGACGCTCAAAAAAACGTATCCACTGATCACAGACGTCTCTTTCACTATGTAAGTTCAGTCTTTTTGGGCCCAGTGGCATCACGAGATGCCTGCCACAGAACCGCTCACATGGCTGAAAATTTTAGTTTCGTTCACAGATAAACATCAACTCAGGGACAGCTTCAATCTTTGGGTCTAAACTTGAAAAAAATCAGACTTCTGGTTGTTTTGCAAGTTGCACACTTGGTCA